TTTCTAGGCCTAGGCCTAGGCGGCCTAGGTGAACATAACTAAGCCTAGGTTTGACTTACTTCTGCAAAAAATTAGGCCTCAGCATATACGTATTCGGTATTACAGGTTCTTCTTCTAAATTTTCTTGATCTTCTGCATTTTCTTGGTCTGCTGTATCCGTCATTTTGCTATACAAATATAATAATAATACAACAAACCTTCACTAAGCCCAGCACTCTCTCGCTACGGCTGGTTTCCCTTAGCAACCACAATTTGGAGATTTGTGAACAATGTTTGTAAAGCTGGAAGTAGGTTTATTGTTATAAAAAATAGAAAAGTTACTAAATATAAATAATATTAATAAATTAACATAACATTAAAAAATATTTTGTAAATTAAAACATATTTAAAGTATTTTAATGTTCTAAATTAACAAACTTAACAAAAGTATATTGTACGTATGATGAGCAGTCGATCACTTTCTAAAATCTCTGTGGCGCGACTATTTGTTTTTTAATTTTTTGGTGAGGCTGTTTTCGTTTATGCCAGGGGTGAAGCAACCTATTGAGTCGGTAGCCCGTGTATGGTCTTTGGCTGGCATGGCAGTCGTCTTCGTGATCAAAATGGTGAGTCACTTTGCCATTTTTAACTGGCGGTAAGCTAGGCCTACCTAGTATAATTAAAAGAACTATTATTTGTAGTAGTAGTATTGAATTCCCGTAGTAGTAGTAGTAGGGCCTAGGCCTAGGCCTAGTATTCTTCCGTCCGGGCTGGGTTAAAATGGAGCAGGTCTGTATGTAAAAAACTAGCCTAGGCTACTGACTGTACAGTCTACTGATGTGGTGGGTCCAGCCTGGGCTCTAGCCTATGGATGGGGAGGGATGTATTGTTTGTAGCTGGCCTGCACTACTGTATCATCTTAGGCCTAGCCTAGGCCTAGAGTAGGCCATGATTATGAATATCATAATGATTTTAATGTATAAATGAATAGGCCTATGAATGATGATGAAAAATTTATTTACCATAGCAGATTCGATTCTGTCTGATCATGTTTTTAACGTCAGAGCATCTCCATGTGACTACTCCCTAATTTGAAAATGGCCTCATGACTACTCAAGAAAGGTTAATCCAGCCAAGCACACTCACTGTGTCAGCTAACTGCGCCGTCTGATGAATACATCTCCCCTCTGTGTCTCTTCTTAGGCCAACTCAGACAGCGTTGTACGACGCAACCCAACACGATCTGTTGTCGCGTCGATTCTGTGTGAGTTGAATGCAGACGTGATATTTTGCATGGGGGGGGGGGTGCAGTTGTTTCATAGATTATTAAACATTCAATATTTCTCACGACGGCTTAAAACTGTCCCTAACATTGAATTGCATCAGGCTACGTCGTGCGAAGCTGTTTGAGTTGGGCTTTACCAATTGACGACAGGACTATCCTAGGCCTATGTCTGCTGATTTTCGACAGCAGTCTAAGCGGATTTTTGTTGAAAACGGTGTTGTTTCGCCGCAGTCTACATGGAATGGCGCTAACAACATTATGTGCCCATGCCAACCCAGCCTATAGTGCCCAGAGTTACCATCGTTCACACCAAAAAATACAGTAGCGGTGGCTAGATTCGGGGGGAGGGGGGTATTGTGGAGGGCAAATGTTCCTGAAACTCAAAATTCAGGAGATTAGAATTCCCTGGTGAAGTGCGGCCAAACCCCAGAAATTTTGAAAATTTAAGTTTTTTTCATACATGCATTCTGATATTTTGAGGTGTCCGTCCTCAACTCTCGGAAAGTCTTTGTACCCAACATTGATGATAAAGTCAGCACACAAAGGAAAAATTGACACAGAAATACTCAATCATTGGTACCAAAAGCCACTAAATTAGCTGTTTTTGTATTTTGGGGTTGCTTTCTGAAAATTTGGGAGAAATTGACAAGATTCAAGGAGACTGGGAGATTGCATGTAAATTCAAGAGACTCCTGATTGAATCAGGAGGGTTGGAACTTATGGGAGGGTGCAAGTGAAAATTCATGGTGGAGTCCAACAGGTGGCAAGTTATTATTTTGTTATTAAAATACAAATTCTATGTACAGTAATTATAGGCCTAATGTTTAAGTTTTTTTTTAAAGCAGTTTAAATTTAATGAATAATAAACTATGAATTTGAAGGAATACAGTGTGCTAGATTCGCGCAAAGATCCAGAATAATAATTTTATACCTACTTTTAAATTGTTTTGTTACAATAACTCTTAATGTGTTTTTGTACAGTCAACAACAACAACATGGCGTTGTCTAGCAGCAAACATGTGCCGAATGGTGAAATAAAGTTTTGTTTTTACCATGAAGGAATCACAGATAAGTCTCCAAATCAAGTTACTGAGGCTAGATGTTGGAGAGTTTTTGACAGTAACAACAAAAATATTTGCTGAAAAACTTGTGTCTGACCTTGGATGAAGGAAAGACATATGCAAGTTACTGGTTTTACTGGTTCTTAGGGTATGTTTCTACTGAATATTGAGAAAGAGACAGTTCTCTTATCATTGGTTAATTATTGAATTAGCAAGATAAGAACCACATTGCCTGGCTCCACATGACGTACAATACCCAGAATGTAATTTGAAATTACCTTTATAATGAAAACTTTAACAAAACAACATTTTCGCGTGACTATCAAGATGCAAACAAACAATGATAGTTTGTCCTATCCGAATACTACTGTCGGTATTCAAATAAAACAATGGTTAAACTTTTGTTCTTTACAGTACAACAAAATAGAATATTTTGTTGTAAACACAAGTTTGTTTAACTGATTTCTCGTAATAATATAATATCGTTGGTAGGCATAATATAGTATGTCATTGATAGGGCTACTGTATCACTGAACTGGTGGAACACACTCGACAATTCTGATTATTGATTATCGAAGAACTTAAGGATAATATGTCTAAAGGTAAAATCATGTAGGCCTAAATTATTGATGAGAAGTATTTTGCAAAGTCTGATAAAATTTAACTCTTAACTACCGTACATCCATTCAACAATTCTACTAGTACTAGACATAGGTCTAGGCGCTGGAAAAGTTGACCTTAGGTCAAGTTATTATATATTTGTGTTGCAGCTAAAAATTGCCCCACAAAAAACGGTTCTATTGTTGTTGTGAATATTCTGTCTGTTTTTCCAATTGGCTGGATTTTACCATAGGACCCTTCTGCAGCAGTAGTACCTAAAATGGTCAAGGAATGACAACTCAAATATGCCCAATATCATCATGGAATATAATATAGTGTTTATGCTGGTATCAATTCATGGTGCTTTATGGATGATTTTTCTTTTCTTTTTAGCAATTGTTTATTCATTTTCTTTTCAATAGGATGAATAGCCTGTATAACCTTGATTCTCATGTATGTACACAATTAATCATTGTGATGATGAATTTTCAGGTGATGCAAGTACTGTATACTGTTATTTGACATTTAACTCAATACAGCACTAGTGTGAATAACACATCTGTAAGCCTATCTATCACAGATACCTGTGTTATACAGACAAAATAATACCAATATCATTTTTCGGATTGCATGAAGTGAAATTTCAACAAAGTATTGAGGAGATTTACCTGTACACATCTTTTCTGAAACTGTAGGAACTTCATTATGTGGTCTTGCAACTAACAGTCACGTTTATTCGAGGGAGGTGATTATTTTTTTGGGTGTAAAATGAAATGCATTGCACATGTATTTACTCACCCATAAATTTCATTGTAAATAAAAAACTACAATCATTAAATTACCATCAAAATGTGCTATTGTGTGATCATAAAGACTTATTGGTCTCTTATTCAAGGGAGGCATTTATTTCTAATGAGGCTTTGGGGTGGGTGGGGGAAATTATAAGTAAATTCGGTATCATTAACTGTGCAGTGGAAAAATATTGTAATGTCACTGTGTTCTTACCATGCAGTATTTAAAAAATAATTTGCAATATTAATGATGTACATGTTACTTGCCATTCATAATTATATGTGGGTTAGAAATTATGTTGTTATTTGATATTCGGATGGATTTCAAGATTGTAAAAAAAAGATGGTAATTCAGTTCAGCAGCCTTTGTTGTAAACACCTATCTTGATCTAACAATAAGGCAAGAGAGAGTAAATTAGGTTTTAATTGCTGTTAATTAGCAGATAAAGTGCCATACATACTACTAAGATAAAATATTAACAAAAACTGTACTGTAGATCCTGTAGCAAATAGCTTGTATTATAATCTTGAAATTTAACACAGTTTTTGGGTTGCCCTCTTGAGGGCAGAGGCAATAATTATACTTTTATGCATGTGACCTAACAACCTAAACGAAAGTCATCCGGTCCGGTGTCTTCACTACTTAAACAGTACCAAGAAGAGTGTTAACTTTACAATGGAAACAACTTTGTCACTTACATCTCTTTGAACCTTTTTTGGCTTCCAAGGGCTATCTGCTCTATCATTTCAGTAATTTTTAATTGTAAATAGTTGAGAGTTCATGTGTGTATATTTATATGCATATTTTCCCTATTTTACGTACCAGTATTTGAATATTAGTTAAGATTGTAAACTGTGGTATTAGGATGGGAAACTAGGAATATGAGCCTTGCAAAGTTAATAATTTAACTAATAATTAATAATAACACCAATTTTGATTGTGGAAGATATTGTATGCAAAATTCACAAATTTTAGCATAATACAAAAGATAAAATAAAGAAAACAAATCGTCTTTTTTTTTTTTTAATTATTATTCTTGAATCCTTAGATAACCATTATTATTCCTCTGCAGACACCATAGTTGGGGGCTTCAGTTGGAGGCTTCTTCCATGTCATCTGCTAAAAAAATTTAAATATTGGAATGATAAGATGTACAGGCTATGTTCTCACACGGCAGCTAACAGTTAGCAGGATCCGGATCAATATGATGATCAAATCACTGGCCAATAAGAAACTAGAAATTGTAAACGCGTACGTGTGATTGGTTGATGATAGCAACGCCCCCATGGAAGGTCCCCAGCAATGGTGGCTATACAGTTTGTCTATACAGAACATGGTAGATTAAAGATGGGCGGTCACTACGTCATACAGTATGACGGTCGTACAACAAATCTAACTTCGCTCCTTGTGAGAGCTAGACGACACAACGCCATCTGTCGATTGCCAGTGGCATTCTGAACGATATTAAAAATGATCCATTGCGCGCATGTCATCACGTTGCATTCTTTACAGAATCGCATCGGCCAACGACCGT